TAAGGGAAAAGGTTTATTATTAAGTGGGACAATCCAAGATGTTGAAACCAAATCAAGCAGCAACCCAGATTGTGAATCAACGAGCAGACACTATGTTTTTTCAAATCTGAGAAGTGCTGTGTATAGAATTTTTTAGCTTTCATTTCCAAAAGAACATCCATCTTCCCAAGGATCACCTACATTTTCATAATATTATATCGCTTACGAGAATGTACCATTTACTACTTCGTGTGATGCCACATTGCTACAAACCAACATGAACTTTATAATTTCATCAAAGAAAGTAAAAAAATAAAAATAAAACACAAATGCACTTAACTCTAGTGTTTTCCGATATAAATGTGTACAAAATACAAATATGAATGACACCTGAGCACCCTTCCGAAAGTCTTTCTTCTCTACTTCAGGCAACATATTTTCACTGTATCTGCCAGTTCCATGTGGACCAGGATCGTCAAAGCTGCAGAAATTAGGTTCGGTGTTTATTTCTAGTATAACACTATACACGTTTGAATAAGGTAGGCTTAAATAGCACGATTGTAATTAAACAGAGCAAACAAAAAGTGGTATCAGTTTAGAGGCTTAATAAATAGGCGCATTGTAAGATAGGATAGAAACCCTGAAACTTCGATGTTGATAGGCACATTGCCGTAGCATTTGTTAATTACATCCAGCACAGTTAACATTTCTAGCCACCTAAAAGATAGACTCAAACATAGTGTTGTCCAAAGTAAAATAATAATCTAGCTTGAATGTGACAAAGATCCAAACTAGATTAGAATAATTTTGGCTAATCAGACTATCAATAGGGAAGTCTCCATAAAACACTTACAACTTTGTTTAAATAACACATACCACTTAAGGTTTTTAAAACTTTACCCACCATTTCCAATATTTGCATAACATAGTGGCAGACGTAATTTTAGAAACCTTAAGAGGACTACTAATATTTATATCAAACCCACACATAATCTCAATGGTTGTTTGTGTCCATCAAAATTAACAAATATGGGTACATTCAAAAACCTTATTGAACCCTTAATGTATTTAAATCAAACCTCAGAGGATTTGTAAACAGATTCTGACCAGTCACCAGAGAAGATATCTTTATTGTATCATAATAGCGTAAATAGCAAATATGACTTCTAAAGGGCAATTAACTGTTCAACCATTTGACCTCTACACCTTCGCTAGCTTATGTGGTAACCAAAAGAACTAAGAAAACCCATCACATAATAAAAATGTGCAACTACCTATCGTAAGGAAATAGTACACCCAAAAGAATTGCAACTTACCAATCTACAAAGCTAACATTTGTGTACATGAGATAGTTGTAAACATAATCAAAATTTCGAAGCGGTATGCAGCTGCAGTCGAGGAAAGAAAAAAACTAAGTTAGCATTTGAATAAAAACAAGCTGCCAAAGTAACACAAACTTGAAAACCTGACAAAAGACTGTTCTGTAGTAACCTGTCTGAAAGTAGTACAAAATGCTGGTTGTCTGGATCTTTAAGTGCATTTGCTAAAAGCCGCCTTTCAGCATCAACCATTGAAATTTTTCCCCACGCGACCTGCAATTGATAGCCGCAAACAAATATCAGCTAATTGAAGTCTCAGTTCTACTGAAAGTGGCACATCCTTCAACTTTTGATTTAAAAGACGATACAAAATGGTGATAATCTAGAAAAGGTTTGCCAGTGCAGCAAATAAAACTATCTATCACCTCAATTAAGAATATACAGTTTTTTTTTAAAATAAAAAATAATGACAATCACCAATGGATCCAAAACATGTTCAATGCATATTTAGATACTCATGTATGCAAAATATTAAAATCTCCATATACTAGCAAATTTCCTTTTCACAATCAATATGTTTAAGAATTCCTAAAATNATATATATATATATATATATATATATATATTAAAAAAAAAACACTAGTATACATCTGTCTCTAATACTTGTCCGAATTTATTTTGATCATGTGCAGACTCATAGTTACTTTACTTGTGAAGTAACATAGATATACAGAAAATGACCCACTTCTGTATAAAAATACACAGTTCTTTAAACTATCATAAACTACTTTAGCATAAACAGAAGTTATATTTGTTATAGATTGTGTAAAAAGAAAAAAGTAAGGAACTGAGGAAGACACCTTGCTGCTACGAATCTCCCGATTGATGAAATAGCGGCTAAAATGTACAGGTTTGTCCTTTGAAGCATGCACGTAGACAGAGAACCTACCTTCATGGCCCTGCCAGATAGAAAGAGTTATTTAGGAAAAAAGATGTCATTGAAGGTGAAATTAAAATTGCATGACATCAAAAACACAAAGTAGAACAAAACGCATTTATAAAAAATACTTATTTCCCATTCTTGTGAACTCATTTGCTGATTTGAATAATAAAAAAATCTTCCAATCATGCTACACATTTAGAAATGGCACCTTACTTGCACCAAGATTTCATTGTATCAATTTTGCAGGACGAGTGCTGCAGCATAAGAAAGAAAACCAAATACCTGGAAAAATTTATCCCACAGCCTCTCAAATGGTAGTGCACCTGGTGTCAGGAACAGGAATGCAATTTTGGGGTTTGCAGAAATATTAGGATGCATAGCCAGAATATCTCTAATCACAACACGAGAAGCAAATTCATCATCACTAAGCTCCCTAGCAGGCACGGGCGGAAGCCAATTTTGTAATGCTTTACAGCCATGAGACGACAACAAGTAACACGCTGCAGAATTCTGAGGAGGATAGACATAAGCACAAACAAGGAACAAGCTAACTAAAGAAACCAACACAATAATCCACGTTGGCTTCTTCAATTGACCACGCTGGCGAGGCCCTGGCAGCATTTGCATGTTTTTCATGCCAAGACGCCATGCCTGAGCTGACTTCATTTAGAAATGATGCATCACAATTTTAACTCCCACAAATTGTTTGTATCTTCTACCACAGTTTGCCCCAAAGCTCAAAGTCAAAAGCAATAACCTAGCCTATGTCAGAGCAGACGACGGCACTCTGTTACCTATAAGAATCTGAGCCTGCAGAAAAAAGAATCAAAGATATGAGTTAAATCCGTTCAACAGCATGTAAGTCAATAACAGAAATCAAAACCAGGGTAACAAATTCTATATGCTAGATGCTTACAGACACAGCAAAGAATATTTATCTAAGCATCAGATGAAAAATGCTGAAAGGAGCATCGAGCCACCATAAGTTTACAGATGCAACAAATCATTGCAGCACGACTCAGGTGAAATGAGGGTAATCTTATCCTGAAGTCACCAGAAATTTGCATTCCACGAACAATCCATGCAAAGGTTCAAAACCGCAGCAGCAGCCGAAATTTTCAGAAACATGTGTAATAAAATGGCACAGCCATCACACACACGCACACAAAACGAAGACGAACAAACCAAAAAAACAATAAAAGAAGACAGGAGTAGAAGAAAGACTTGAACACCATATACCTAGACAGCAGATCCGATTTCCACTAAACGAATGATAAATTCATGTTTGTAAAGCCGCAACAACCGGAAAAATAATACACAAATCCATGGGCAGTGAAGGAAAAGTCATTTATCCAGGGGAAATCAACATAGCAATCAAAAAGTCAAACGTCTACCAGACACGCTACCAGAAATAAAATTCCTCGCGCACTCATCAAAGTCAGATTTCAAATCAAACACACATCACGCGCACACACCAGAAAAATGAAAACCAAGAATCACCCCGAACCAAACACAGATTAACATATGAATCCATCAAACAACAATCAACGAAAAAAAAAACGATAAATCAACGAACAATTACCTGATAAATCCGACAATGAGATCGGTCGCGTATGTGTGTGTACCCACGCCTGCAAATACAGCTACACTACATGTGTGTTGAGATCTGGTGCACGCTGAATGATTGAATCCAAATCATATAGAGAGAGACTGTGTATGCGGGGAAGGTGACCGATACATACAATTATATGTATGTATTATACAGAGAAAAATGTGAAGGAATTTTTTTATTCTTTTTCCTTCAGATGAATTGTTGAAGGATTTGTGTGGTGTTTTGGTAATATATACGTATTTTTTATTTTTCGTATTTGTGTGGAGAATTTGAACGTCTATATGGGCTCCGTCAAAGTATTACAGAGCGAGGTGTTGATTGTCAATTTCCACGTCATGATTAAATTAAAAAAAGTTATATACTAATAATTGTATAATAATGTTTTTTGGATTAATGTCATTAATTTGGAAATCGTGTTGTTTCTCTTCTTTTTTCCTGTTTTGCTCTTTAAAAATTGTGTTATTTCTCTTCTTTTTTGTTGCTTTGCTCTTAAAAAATTGTTTTGTAGTACTATTTAATCACTACGCAGATCGATTGGTTGTATTTTTATAACAAAAATATATATTTATACTTTAAAATATTATATTTTTACTTATATTATTTTATATAGTTTGATATTTCAATTTAAAACATGTATAATCGTTCAAAAAATATGACTTGCTTAACTATAAGATATGCTTAACAATAGTCTCACTAGCACTCACAAATGCTTGTGCAAAGTCAGTTTTTTTGTCATAGTGTTATGTATAAATATTCAGAAACATTATTATATAAGAGTTTTAATTAAATATTAAAAATCTTTATAAAATTAAAATAGAAGTTTAGGTTTAAAGAAAATCAAATACTAATCTATATTCTTATTTAAAATGACAATGAACACATGCAGTTCTTTCTATATTATAATAGTTTATTTTCTCATTTATATTGTATATTAATAGTTTTGATAGATAAATTTTGTTAATTGGTAATTTTATTATTTTTTACTTCAAATTGATTGATAAATTAATTTATTTTACAATAATTGTTTTTTACTTTATATATACAATGTGGATTTTAAATTGAAGATTGTAAAAAAATTATTGATTTGCTATATAACATATAGAAAAATGATAAAAATAAAAATAATTTCTTAAGAATATATTCATAATATGAATTGACAAAATATATTATAATTTTAAAATATCTAAATATCAGGAATTAAAGTCTAAATATACATAAATAAATTGGCACACAAAACCATGAACTACCAAAAGTCGAAGCTTAGTTTAAAAAATTCTACATTTTTTGTACCAAAAAAAATCTACATTTTGCACTTATATGATATATAACTTTAAGAACAAGATACAACTAAACCAAGGTATTAATTTGGTATGTCTATTATTTTAAAGAAGAATTGAAGTACATAGAAGTTGTTTGACCTATATAAAATTAGGTTAGCAAAATTGATATACGTTGCTTGTTTGTATAGTGTATTTGTAGTATAACTGTAACTGTATAACAGAGTTTTGTTCTATTTATAGAAACCCTGTCTTTTTCTAGAGTGTGGAGACCTAATTAATTCTAGTACATGTACATCAACTTTTTACTTGGAGCTAATTATAGCAATTTTTTTCATAAATGGTATATTGTTTTAGCAGTAGCCACTCTGAATCAATTATTTCTTAGCTTACAAAATACAGAAGGTTGAACTGAGTGTTTTAGATAAAAGGGCAATTCATATCACACCAGAAATTATTATATTTCAACAAATAATTCAATAAAAATATTGCAACAAAATATTAATATTATGGAGCGGAAAAACAAAACAAGGTGGGACGGTTATAATTTAAAAATTTAAATATTTCAATGAAAATAAATCCTAAAAAATTCTATTGAATGAAATATTTAGTTGAATTTCAGTTTAAAATGATTCATCCCAACAACAAATTTTCAACGGTTTATTATTATAATTTTTTCTTCTAAAAATAAAAAATTGCATCATAATTTAAAAGAATATTTATTTCAACAGAATGGTTCGACGCTACATCTCTGATCGAGAATGAATCTTTTAATACAGAATATGCTAAGTTTAAGTTACAGACTCGTATGCTTTGAAACCTTATTAGCATATGTTGTTTGGATAGATTTTAATTTGCTCACAATCCAAAAATAATTAGGTATGAATTATATATAAATAATATGTTGATTATTTATGGTCATCTTTATTAATTACATTTTAATATCATTCATATTATAACCACTGAATTGTAAATGTATTTTAAAAGTTACTAACTTTTGTATTTTTTATCAGTTTTACATATATAATATATCAAATTAATCATCATTTGTTGAACTTCGATTTAACATCCATATTAGTATTTGTAAAATAAATAAATTATATTTATATTTTTAATTAATAATAATAAAATTATTTATTAATATTAATTAAAAAATAAATTACTTATCAATTAATATATTTATGTTTAAAGTAATTATATGATATAAATTAAAAATTATTATAATATACTACAAGTAAGTCGCACAAATAACAAATGTCATTATAAAATATATAATAATATGTATTTTTTGTACACAAACATTTAAATTTTAAAACACTTTTTTCTGATTAATTCTAAAATTTAAAAATAATTTTTTTAACAAACACTCTTGTAGTATACATATGTATACACACAATTAGCAATATAAAGTTACTATTCAGTCCTTATAGCAATTTTCTTCCGACTATGTATAAATAAGAGATACACATATTGTAAACCTTAAACAGTCTATGGTTGTAATTCCTCGTCTTCTTTTTCCTTTTTGTGAGTTCACAGCTTCTCTTCAGTAATTCTCTATACAATTTTTCTGAAAATTAAAAATCGACTTGAGGTTGGAATTCCTCCCTACTTGAAGCAAAAACATAATTAATAAGTTTTAAATGCACAAATTTATTTTAAAAATAGTTCATATTTGTTGTGAACAAATAAACAAATTTATGAACAAAATAACTATCAAAAAACTTAATCACTAAAAAATAATAAATTGAGGTATTAAATAAGTACTTCATATCAATTCGAGATTTAGGATAGAGAATGAATGTAGGACTTGAATTCATTAAGGACAAGTTTCCAGGAAATTGATTGTGTGGTATAGGCACCAATCGGCGGCCGATCATGACTTGAAGTTGCGGAGACATTGACTTTATTTTCTTTTCATTTACTACTTTTTTTTTTTGGTTAACAGGGATGACTTTTTATTCTTAACTATTCGAACATGTAAAATTGAACAGATGTAAATAAAGTATAATAATTTATTTGTATACATATAATATTAAAATTATAAATTATATAATGATATTATATTTTTAACATAGANGAAATTTTATATATTAAAAGCACAAATGTGCAAAATACAACCACCAGCTGAATATACGCAGCCAACAGCTGAATACAAACAGTCAATAACTGAATAAAATGGGAGGACGGTTCAAGGACCGCCTAGAGCCGACCCCAACGAGGTAATACTCATGACAACACAAAAACACTAACACAAAGACACTAAGAAACTAAAAGAGACCCCAACAGGGTAATACCCGAGTGTCGGATCCCAACGGGATAACAAAGTGACACTCGGGCACACAGATGTCAACGGCCCAAACCAAAAAAACACAATCTACGAACACAATCAACATAATACAAACATAGACAAAACCTAAACAAAATACTAAGCCCTCTTCACCAACTGTCGAGCCTCTTCCAATCGCCCCAAACAAGCACCGAGCGTAAGATGATCATCCGAGAAAATCTAGCCCACGGCCCACACGAGATCTAGAAACTCCCTAACGGCTAACTAGATTTGGACCAATCGACTCGACAGCTTCCCGAATGACCACCACCGGAACAACACTGGAAAACCGACACCCCAGCGCCGGGGAAGAAGACCTCCGCCGGTGAAGAGGCGAGCGCCGATCAATTTGCCGAAGACCGAGGGTTTTTAAATTGGGGGATTTTTCTCGTAGAGAGAGAAAGTGTTCTATGAGACTTATTACTTAATCATGACCAATTAATTAGCTTAAAAATATTAAATTTATTATAACAATTGCTTATGCTATTTTAAGAATTTTACTATGATATTAAAACAAATTAAATTATTTGAAAATAATTTCTTAATCAGATAAAAAATATAATATTGATTTTAGAATAAATAACTTGAATAAAAAAATTTTACAACATAATTTTTTATGTTTATGTATTTTTCATATATCATTTAGTGTAAAAAATAATTGTTAATATTAATAATAACTATTATATGATACAATAAAAAATATAATTATTACTCAATTAACATAAAATATAATTGTTGTTGTCTTAATTAAGCAAAAAAAAAAAATGAAATTATGTTAAAGTTAGAGTTAAATTTTGAGTAAGAATTGAAAAAAATTTGTAAACAAAAGTACCTTAAAAGTTCTGTATTTTATTACTTAATTGTCATATTTGGTCAACTGAAAAACAAATTGGACCTACACGACAGTTGGTTATAAGTAACCAGAAAATAATAATATAATACAACAATATAAAAAAAAAAAAAATTTATGTTTAGGGATCGGATAACATGACTTTGTCCAGGCCCTCATGCTCAAGCATGTGCCTAATTTAGTTTTTGTTTAATCCCTTGAATTAGTGTCGATATCACTGACTTTTAGTACTCTAAAATTAACTATCATGACACTATCATAGAAGTAATTATTGTATTATTCGTATTTAAATTATTCAATTTTAATGAAGGCAGGAATAAATGATGGTATGTTCTATTATAGAACAAGAATGTGTGTGTTACATACAAAATCATTTTAATTCTTGGATTTTTTAATGAACTAAAGATGCTGAGGTAAAAAAACATTTCTACACAGAAGCTTGGAGAAAATATATGTAACATTTGTTATGATAATATGAATTTTCTAGTCAATCAAATCCTAGCCTCATCTCTTGCAATTACCATGTGCCCAGATTGAAGCAAAGTGTGCATGAATGTCCTTCAATCTGTACTGCAATTTGAGCTTCTCATTTCTCTCTCTATCTGCACA